CGCGACCCCCAACACCCGCCTAAGCCCTCAGCTTTCACACAGAGCACGTTACAGTGTCTCATTGTTCACAAAGCTGACACTCCAAAGACACGTTGTAACGCTATGCTTACACATACAGAATAGTAAAAGATGCAAAGCAGCTTAAAATTCTTAGTCGCACTTAGCCCAACAGCCAATTTAAAATTATTTAGAACACTGTATAACTGTTAAGCACTCTTACACACTCCGATGACGTGGTGTTGGTCTTCCAAATGCAAGAGACTGTCGCTGGTTTGAGCACAGTTCTTCTGGAGGCTTCCTGGTAACTGCAAGAAAATCATTACAAGTTTTTAAGTGTTTGCTGTTACAGCTTTAGTGGATCGGTATCACTGTTGTTACCATAGGTTCTGTACCACCACTCTGCTTTTATTTGCTAGCGCTTGATGCTATAGCTGTAATGTAACAGAAAAAAAATAATTGTGACTATCTCTAGTTTGTGGTGCAGAGAATAGGCAAAAGAAAACAAGCTCTGGACCCTGTGTGTATCCAGCATTCCCAGATAAATGTACAGTAGCTACTCTAACTAGATTGTTGTACCCTTTCTTTAAAGATGAATTGATCCGTGAAACTACAATTAACTGTGCAGAGCGGGGACTGTTGCTGCTTCGAGTCAGGGATGAAATCCAAATGACAATTGCTGCTTATCAGACCTTGTACGAGAGCAGTGTTGCGTTTGGCATGCGGAAGGCACTACAAGCTGAGCAAGACAAATCTGACATGGAAAAAAGAGTAAGTTGGGCTGTTAACCCCATAATGTAGTTTTCTGCACATGATACAGCATAAGGGTATTACATACAAAATTTTACATGACATCAGTTATTTCTATTTCCACTGGATGGCAGTAGAGATCATCAGAATACTTGTCTTACTGTTTTCCTAGGGCTTAATTGCACTTCAGGAATTATCGGCTATTATATCTGGAACGCTTTAAAGACTCTACAACGTACAACTTTGTCCCATCTTAACTGAAAATTGATTATTAACAAACAAAACTTGAGAGATCTGTTCTCTTTTCCAAGATTGCAGAGCTAGAAGAGGAAAAGCGGGAGTTGGAAAGACAAGTGAGTGAACAGAAAGATAAATGTGAAGCTATTGAAAAACGTGAAAATGAAAGGCGACAGATAGAAGAGAAGAAACACACTGAGGAGGTTCAGTTCCTGAAACGAATGAATCAACAGCTGAAGGTTAGTAAAAAAACCGCAATTCCAAATAGTAATGGTGAAACTTCTAATTTTGTAATTGGAAAGAAGTAGTTTTCTCCTTATAGTTTTAGAATTGTTACGTTTATGATGGATTTGCATTAATGTTCCACTTTCTTTAAATTCTCAATGAAATGGGAAAGTAGTGCTTTTGCATTCTCTACTTCCTTGCTCAGTCAGTAACTGGTCATTACTAGTAAAACTGGTGATGCAAACAGCAGGTCAGATAACTGACTTCTAGCCATACACACGTTTGCCAGGGAGAGATCAGAATTCGTTCAGAAAATGGTAAGTTGTTGTAGTCAGCTGGAGAAGAGCAGATGCATGCAGCTGAACCCCAAAGGCAGAGGCTTCAAACTATTTCTGCATAACTTGATCGTAAGGTTATAATAGTTAGTGCCCCTTCTCAGCTACAAAATAGAAAATCTAGTGAAGGCAAATTAAGATGTTTTGTTTCTTTTCTGTTGGCCATTAAAGTTGACCCCCTGACAACAAGACACACCATTTAACATTAAATATTACCTAATAAGAACAATTGTGTACTTGTGCAGTAGGGACTGCATAATTACAGGAGTAATTTTGTGCATGCTGCTTTCGTGAAAACAGAGCTTCTGCTCATTGCTTTGCTTTTGAAAAGGAAAAATCCCACATCTCTTGAGTAAACAAAAACTGTTACCATAAACAACGTTAAATGTTTCTGGCTACAGCTAAAAACATTCCCTTTACACCGAGCTGCTTTCCTTACCTGCACTGTTCCTAGTTTCTCCTTTCTAAACCATTAACATCTTCCGGCCGTCTCAAAGTGTTTTAGGGCACAAAATGGAGTAACTGTTACATCAAATATGTGTTGCCACCGAATCCATGTTTCTTCCTTGAAGTACAAGTATTCTAACAGCTGTGTAGATACCACTGTTGTTTATTTTGATGGCAGCTCTAGGAGGAGGACAATGTAAGAGTCCTGGAAGCTTCATGCACTACATGCTCCCTAAGCATGGATAGCTCTCCAATCAGTCTACTAATTGGGCATCAAGTTGTCTCAGGAACTGAAAAACTTGCTGTTCCCAGCTACTTTTGTCCCAGAGTCAGAGTTTGTGTTCCAAATGCTAGAGCGCCAAATATTTAATTTAGCTAACATAGTCCAGCCTGAAATCAGACAATTCAGACCACCGTTTCAACAGCTTTTATTTAATTTCCTCTTCAATGCTTTACGTTATAAAATGAGTCTTTCATTGTATGGAACCAAGGCCAGCTCTTTTCTTCTCAGAATGCAACAAGTGCGTATGCCAAGAATGAAAAGCTAATTTATAAAACATGTAGTAAGGAATGGAATAGCTAGGGAAAAAAAACGCTGGCCTGCTGCTCTTGAAGTATTGCAGCATCCCTCAGCTCCTCGCTTAACAGACAATTTATCACTTCACAGCAACGCGGGTCTATTTTTTAGGTTGTATGTAATTTGACTTACTGTCTCATTTGTTTTTCAGGCCCAACTTGAAAACATCATTGCACCGAATAAGTAGATTTTTTTGTTGTCCTCCAGGCAGTGCTCAGTAGAGCTGTCAGAGCAAGCAGCTTGCAACTAGTGACAAAGATTTGTCTTTGTAAAAAAATGCTGAATTTTCACTTACCGGTAACTGAAGGCAGCGTAATTGTATTATTTCTTTCTTTTTCTCCTGAAGAGTTGAAATTCAAGAGCTTCATTAATTACTGCACCCTCTTTCAATGCCGTCTCAGCATTCAGCTCCTTGAATAGTGAACCTGTCTGGGACTTGCCTGTTGGCAATACGCTAGATGACCTTCAAAAGCAATAAACTAATAAACATTTTTATACTGTAATGTTATTACTTTGAAAATGTTGTAGAAAATTCAGAAACAATATACAAAGTGTCTACGATGAATGTAAGCCACGTTCACTAAGAATCAAATGGCAGGTAGTTCTTGGACAGGTGCTTGGAGGCTATTTCCTTGAGTACGTGCAAGCTGGTGTTAATTGTACACCAAAATCCCTTGTCAGAACCGTTAGTAGTAACCTAAGATGAGCAATACCAAAGCTCTCTACAGGGTTATTTCTAATGAAACAAAGGGGTACGATGCCATTCCCAGCATCACTTCTCAGTGGAAGCAAATGAAATCTTCACTTGAGGTACCTGTGTAACTAG